GGGGAGGGCTGATTTCGTTCTGGTGCCACCAACTTTGTCTGAAAAATGGGCCTTGGACCCGCGCCTGCCAGCAGAAGTCAAGACAGTGCTAGGGTTTGGGGAAGCCAGGATTATATGGAAAATGTGGGCTTTGAACCCATGCTGCCAGCAACAGTCAAGACAGTGCAGACATGCTTCTGAGAATGACATTCAGGAGCTATGTACACTGTACACACAACGTGCGACGCCCTAAGTTTCAAGGCAGCATGGTCCCTGAAAGTCATCTTCACAAGCAAACCTGCGCTTTCTTGACTGTTGTTGGCAGGCGTGGATTAAGAGCTCACATCACACAAACCTGCCTTCCGAAAACCCCTGCGGTAACTGACGAACGTGTGACCCGTTAGGGCACCTGTGAGGTTGTGCTTCAGGGCTTCAAGGAAAATTGGTAGCCGTGTGCCTTTGCAATGCCATTCTATAACTCTGTATAGTATACTGCCTAAACCCTAAACCCAGGTTGTTGATCTTGGAATCGACAGCCTGACTCACTGAGAGCCACGTCTTAGAGCCATGCACATTGCACCCGAGAGTGCGCCCATGCACTGTCTGAATAAATAGTGTATACGGTGTACTCTACCTGTCCGTGTATCATGTGTGTATATATATATGCTACAATACAACGCAACATGGTATACTGCAATATAAATTAACATAACACACTAGTATAGACTAAGATAGCCCAAAACATAACATATCCAAATAAAACAGAACATACCATTTAACATAACACCTGCATATATTGTATGCATGTATATATACATATATATATATACATATATGCATATACATATACATATACATAGATGTGTGTGTGTGTGCGAGTGTGCATGCATGTTGTAAACTATGTATCGACATCTCTATCTATATCTCCTCTTTGTCTCTGTCTACCTGCCAACCAACCAACTCCGCTGAGACCTGTATGCATGCATGTACGTATGCATGTACATATCTGTACATATATATATATACATATACATATACACGCACAT